ATAATGGCCCTTTGTGTGGATGGACCACATTTAGTTTTCCTGTTCATCAGCTGAGGGACATCGGGTTGTTTCTACTTTGTGGCTACTGTGACTGAAGCTGCAACGAACATTCACGAACATGTTTTTGTGTGGACGTTTGATTTCTCTTGTCTTTGGCGGAACTGCTGGGTCATATGGGAATTCTACGTTTCCCATAATTCTAAGCAGCGAGTCACGTCAGCTTCCTGGAGGCCCGAGGGGCCTCTGGGAGACACCGAGCTGTCTGTGGGACCTGCTCAGAGGCAGTGCGCAAAGAGATGAGGCAGAGAGGGGACTCGAGTGACCCATGGGTGGCCGGTGGCTGCTGGGACTGGGGTTGAACCTGGAAGCCTCAGGGACAAAGGGGTCCGGGGCGTGGATGCCAGGACTAACTACCGGATGAAACCACATAGAGCGAAGATTAAGCCGAGCCGAGGCGGAGGCCACCCTCAGAGGGACGGGTTCCGATCCAGGAGGGAGGTGCTGAGGACTGAAGTCCTGGGCTCCCAGGAAGCCAGGAGTGTGGCACCTGGGAGGCGGGGTTGGAGCTGGTGGCCGCAGGCCCGGCCCGGGGGAGGTGGCGAGAACAGGCCTCGGGGACCAGGCACTTCCTCCCCTGTCCATTAGTTAGAAAAGCATTGTATTCCCCAGTACCGGGGCCCAGACGGTTTGGGTTCAATTACTTATTACCAATAACACCTCTTGTGGGGTTGAATGCTGACTCTGGGGCCCCAGGTATCACCCTCCTAACCAGTCTTCCTTCTCTCACGCTGCTCGGTCTTCACAGTGGATTTTTCCAGTTTCGAAGACACGATGGTTTCTTAAATCTCACCGAGCTTGCAAATCAGGTTTCTCCTCCAGATTGTCTGTCTGTCTTTCTTTTTGCAGTGATTCTATGCGACGTAGAGGTAACACCTTTGAGTCCTTAAAAAAAATGGTGCCCCTTGCTTCTACTATTTGCTGGGCCTCTTGCACTGGAGTGAAACTTCCCGAGCCGCTGAGGGTTGATCTGGGAATGTCCCTTCCAGGGGAAGCATCTGCCTGCCTCTTCTCCTCCTGCTTGCAGGGTGGGGGCACCTGCTGTCACCAGGCTGTCACGTGGGAAATGTGCGCTAAGCCCCGCTTCCTTGGAGAACAGAGCGATCTCATTTAGTAGCAGGAGTACACACCTCTGATCCAGCGCCATCCCAACCTGGGTGTCCAACCGGAGTCCTCCCAACACGGTTACCCTGAGATGGGACCCAGGCGCTGGGAGGATTAGCAGCTGAGGACCAGCATCAGCACCCTCAATTGTTCCTAAATCACCCCAGGGAGCTAGGCAAGGGCTGGACAGGACCATGGCCCCCAGGCAGCAATGGGAATGTCGTCTGGATTATGTCCTAGAGCAGTGGTTGTAAAAGACGATTTAGTTGTGGGGTCTTCACTCTAAACATTTTCCATGTAAGGCTGTGTATGTATACATATGGATTCACTCTGTATCTGTACATGCACATGTATGTATACGTATCTGTGTGTGTTCTCTGTGTACAGCTATGTACGTGTGCGTGCGTCTAGGACCAGACTGAAGGGCAGCTGCTGGTGGGGGAGGCTGGGGAGTGCCCGCCTCCACCTCCCTGCACAGCCCCCAGCACCCCCAGGTATGCAGTTTGGAGTGATTGCTCCCTGGTGGGTTGCGTGCAGCCGGTTCCCTTAGAAGATCTCTCCGGATTCAGCCCCAGGCACAGGCGCCTCTGCCCCAGGCACAGGAGGGGCTGAGCTGCGTCTGTCAAGGGCGAAGTGTCCTCTCTCCCTATTGTGCTTGCCTTTGGATTCTGATCTCTCTGAGTCATGCGGAGCAGCTCCTTTGTTTCAGTGTTTCTAGAACGTCTTTGAAAGAGTCATAAAAGGCCTTCCTGTTCTGCGTGGCTGTCTCAGTCCCTCCCCTGTGACCCTGTGTTCTGTCTTTCTGTCCCCAAGCTGATGTTTTGGCCCTGCTCAACCTCCTCCACAAATCAGCTGCCCTCAGCCAAACGAGGGACCCGAGGGACCCGTCGTGCCCTGCCCTCATTTGCATAGTGACAGGAAGAAGCGTCACTAGGACTAGCGGTGCAAGATGAGAGCACAGCAGGGTTCGAGCTCTTTGGCATTTGTCTGGCAGGCTCTGCCTCGGAGTGGGCCTCGGGGAGCTGGGCTGGGTGCAGGGCTGGGCCTCTGTTTCCTGGGACCACTCCAGGGGGTGAGGTGGCAGTGGACTGGAGAGTCACCTTGTCATCTGCTAGAAGCCAAATGTGATGTCATTTGAGCTCTGAATACAGGACGGGGAACGGAAAGATGGGAATTAAACAGATGAGAGGGAGAGGAAAGAAGAAACTTTTCTAACGAGAAATGAAGAGACGCGTGGGAGTGAAATGACCCTCAACACTCTCCCAAATTTCCTTTAGGCGTCCATCGAGTCAAAGCCGTTAGAGACTGTACAATTGCCCACAAAAGACTGTAAAACTTCTACACAGCTTAACAAACAACCCCCCAAAGAAGTTAATAAACACTGTTAAAAATACATAATTCCAAACGATACTGTAGTATGTATTCGTCTTACAGATAAAAAAGCAGAAGATACGAAAAGAGTGAGCCCAAAGCATAAGAAGGAATTCACAGAACAAGAGACAGAAATAGCGAAACATGCGAGACCTTGTTCAACCTTTTTCATAAAGCCAGCTCTCGTTTTTCGCTCACCTCAGATTTGCAAAGATTGAAAGGTCTGATAGCAGCCCGTTGGCAGGGTGTGGGGAAATAGACACTTTCATATCCGGTTAGCAGAGCAAAAAGTGACACCACCTCATGGGGAGGGGATTGCTAGTCTCCATCCGAATAGAGCCCTGTCCTTCCGCCCAGCTGTTCTCGTTCTAGTGACTGGTCCACCATCACCAGTAACCTCAACAGGGGAGTGTCTCACGTTGTCAGAAAGGGGTGGGGGTGGCTTTTCTAAATGCTTTTCATACATTAATTCACTTCGTCTACACAACAGCAGGGTAGATGTAATGTTATTGGTGACCCCAGTTTACTGAAGGGGAAATTAAACTCTGAACTCACCAGTTGTAGGCAAGGTGTAGGAACACAGATGTTCATGGCGGCATTATTTATAATAGTAAAAAGCTAAAAAATAACCACCTGTCCATCATCATAGTCTAGACAAGTAAATGACTATACAACCACAAGGCGGAACATAACTTGGGAAGACCTCTAAGATACATACATATACATCTATCTATCTATCTATCTATCTATCTATCTATCTATCTATCATCTATCTATCTATATATATATTTTTTTTTTGGTGAAAAGAGTACATTTCTGGCCCTGGCTGGTGTGGCTCAATTGGTTGAAGTGTTGTCCCATGCACCAAAATGTTGCAGGTTCAATTCTCAGTCAGGACACATAATTGGGTTGCCAGTTCGATTCCTGGTCTGGGTGCATATGGAAGGCGGCTGACTGATGTTTCTCTCTCTCTCTCTCTCTCTCTCTCTCTCCCTCCCTTCCCCTCTCTAAAATTAGTAAAACATATCTTTGGGTGAGTATTTAAAAAAAAAAAAAAAAAGCACGTTTCTGAACAACAAATAGAGCATGATATCATTTGCACATCAAAGGCATGCATCTATCAGTTTCTGTGCATGTTTAGAAGCTCTGGAATGATTTACAAAAAGGAGCAGTAAATTTAAGAAGCTGGGCTCACAGGAGAAAGGGAAGGAGACATTTGTTCTTTATATCTTCCCATAGGGTCTTAAAATTTTAAAACTAGTGTATAATTTTTAACCTGCGACCCTTCGGTGTGCAGGCTGACACTCTAACCACCGAGTGACACCAGCCAGGGCACTAGTGTATAATTTTTAAAATCTAGCTAGACAGTAACACATATAAATGCTTCGTGAAGTGCCAGGTACGCAAACAAGGCGAAATACGTGAAATTTTTGGATGAGGTATTTGTTGTCTTGATCACAGAAACAAAACGAGTGCCTGTAAGTGGAGTGTGGCCCCTGCCTAGGGGTCCAGCAGGGGTGGGCAGTTCAAGGATCGTGAGGATCTCAAGTGGAGGAAATGGGGGGACGATTATGGTGGGTAGGAAGGGTGAGAACAGAGCAGCAGTTTCAACTCAGAGTATAAAACCCAAACAGCATTCCTTGGAACTCCTATCCTCTGGGCCCAGCTGGACTCCCCACCACTGTGTTCCTCTCCCAAGGTGCTCAGACCTGGCAACGTCCCTTCCTTGCAAAGGTTTCAGGAAAGTAAAAAGTAGCTCCTCCACTTCCTCCTCACATCGGGGGACCCCAAACAAAAGGAAGGTGGAGCCTGTAGAAAGAAGCCAGGGCCCCTGGCTCTTCCTCATTCAAAACAACCCCAAGATTCACTCACCAGCCCTTGGGGGAAAGCCAGGTCTCTGATGGGATGGTGGCCGAACTTTGGGAGAATGATCCTGTGGGGCAAACTGTCCAGGGAGGGGGCCACAGAGCATAAGGGGAGCCCAGCAGGAGGGAGGCCTCCACCCACAGCTGAGCCAGCCTCTCCTTGGCCAGTGTGGCCCCTCTCTGTGGCTGTGCCCCGCACCCATTCAGCATGTCCCCACCTTGTCCAGCCCTACTGGAGGCTTATTTCTGATTGAAACACCCGCCTGCCTCTGTTCTTTGGCCAATATGACGGCTCCAAGGTTGAGGAGCTCTCCCTGCTGGCGGACGGCTTTAGCTCAGACCGCAGGGCCGAGCACCTGCATGAATCATGCCCCAGGGGCCGCCTGCCTCTGCCCAAAGCTCCTGGCTGAGGGGCCGGGGAGGGGCTCGCGTGCCTCGAGCCAGGATCACTGATGTCAGGGCTGTCGCCCCTCAGGACAGCCAGCTCCAGAGCTCGGGGACTTCGCTCTCAGACGCCCCGAGCCACGTCAGTGACCCTTGTTATGTCAGGTACCAGGAAAACGTCCCTGTGTGGGCTCTAATCCCGCCTCTGCTCCATTTCAGGTATCGGAATTGCGTTTACACGTACAGGATTCTGCCCAACGAAGATGATAAGTTCACCGTTCAGGTGAGTCCTTGATAAACCGAGACGTCTGAGCTGACTGGAGCCCTAGTTGGCAGCAAAAGTGTGAAAAAGAGGAAGAACTGGGGAGCAGGTGGCCCGAGCAGCCGAGACAGTAAGGCCTGGCTGAGCCTTTCTCCCAGAAGCCCATGGGTGGGGGTGGCTTAGCAGGGAAATGGTGACCCTGCAAAATGACTCTGCTCTGGGCCGGGATGGAGCGGATGTAACAGACATCATCTGTATTCACGGGCGTGAAGGGGAAGCGGTGGTAGACACGGACCCAGAGGCGAAGGAAAGCGAGCCGCTTGGCTCCTCGGTCGTTTCCTTGCGTGGCTGAAAGGAGTGAGAGCCCACGGACCAGGGAGGAGAGGAGGGGGAGCGTGCAGGAGAACAGGCTGTCCCCTCCCAGGGGCTAGAACACTGCGCAGGAGATGCACACGGCTCAGGACCTGAAACAGCACTTTCCATTCGTAGAGATCTTGTGCCGTGAGAGGCTGATGGAGGCTCATGGCACCGATCGCACCGTGTAAAGTCCGAATGTGTAAAACTTACTGTGAAATGTTAGCGAAAAACCAGCTCGCACCAGTCCAGGTCGGAAGGACCCCCCTACGCGTAGTTTGTGTGAAAAACACCAGGGCTTTGTGTGACCACAGTGCATCACAGCGGAATGATGTGGTGGCCAGGGGAGCTATTTTTATCTGGCTGCATGAAGAGAGCAGGGGGTGGCCAGAACGGAGGAGGTGACACGCTCAGTGTCCTCCGTGGGGGCAGAAGAGTCACTCGCTGTTGTCTGGACGGAGGGGGAGGGCTCCCGTGTGGTGACCGGAGCAGCTAGGATAGACAAGGGTTGGGACACAGTGTCATGGAGGAGCAGTGACAGGGTCTGTGGGGTTTAGCTAAAAAGAGAGTGGAAGTGGAAGGGACACAATCCCTGGTTCCAGGATGGGAAGAGAACAGTGCATTTTGTGCAGGACTAGGAGGCAGTAGTAAAAGCAGAGCTAGACTCAAGGGCAGGGCAGCAGGCAGGTCCCTGGGGCACAAGTTGCTGGTCATGTGTCAAGAGGGAGAAGCTGTGTTGAGCAGAATGCCTTTGGGGAGGCTAGTTCTGGGGATCAAAGGAGTCACTTGAATCAATGAGCAACTTGGGACAGACGGTGAGACCTTGAGATCATGCTTGGGCCACCCAGGTGGTCATGAAGCTGCCTTCTCGGGAGTCAGGGGTTTATTTGCTGCACGGCTTCCATGGGAGATGCAAGTTCGGGCTCAAGCAGAATTGCACCACCCAATCAAGGTCAGGCTGAGTGTTGCTCCTGGGTTCTTCATCCCTCCCGCCTGTGCCTCTGCGCTAGTATCTAAAGAGTAACCGCTTCAGCCCTAGCTGGTCTGGCTCAGTGGCTAGAGCACTGGCCTGGGGACTGAAGGATCCCAGGTTCAGTTCCAGCCACGGGCACGTACTTTGGTTGCAGGCACAATCCCCAGACCCAGTCAGGGCTCATGCAGGAGGCAACTAATTGATGTGCATCTCTCTCACATCAATGTTTTTCTCTTTCTCTCCCTCCCTTTCACTCTTTCCGAAAAGCAATGGAAAAAATATCGTCAGGTGAAGATTTAAAAAAACCCATCTTTTTTAAAAAAAGCGTATCCATTTCAATGTTTTTGCTAGTCTGGGACGCTCACATGTCTCAGCCTGCTCACCAGGAACAAATGTTGGCACACCTGGTACACGACCATCCTTTCAAGTACTTGGTGGCTGTTCGTCATTAAAACAGCTGTCTCTCAGGTGGGCTTCACTTGTCAGGCCGCCGAGGGGAGGGCTGCGTGGGGCAGGCAGTGGGTCTTAACTGCCTCCACGATCTTTTCCAAGTCTAGGTCTGCATGACCTTTCTTGGCTGGGTGGCATCTTTGATAGGCGCTTTGCTGAAAGGAGTCTAATCGCTCGTAAGTTAAAAGTTGGTCGATGTGTTTGATCTTTCCCCCTTGTGGTTTGTTCTGTTCCTTCAAAGGGAAGAAGACTTTAAGTATGAGTAGGCCTTAAGCTGGGAAAGACATGACTTTGTGGCTTCTTGTATAGAACTTGCACCCAGGGCTTGTAAATGTTAGACTGTGTGTGGCGTCTGTTCCCTTTCACGTCCACACATCAAGGGTTCCCGTGATTGCTGCCAGTCCCGCAGCAGCTTCAGAATCAGGGGCCCTCACTAGGTTTTGGGGGTGACAAAGAACAGAGACTCACGTTGACTGATTCATGTGAGCGGTGGGGCAGCCTTTGCGGAGATGCCCAGGGCAAGGAGGGAGAAGGCCTGGGACCTGGGCCCACAACTCAGCCCTTCTGCGTGGGTCTGCTCTGCTCCCACGAACAGGCTCGCTCATTCCCAGCCTCAAGAGGGAATCTGGTTGGTTCAGTCACCAACCGTTTTTTCTGCATGGGCCACTCAGGGGCCACAGGTCTGTGCGCAAATCGGCTGTTTTGGAGCAGGCGCCCACCCACCACTCGGAGATGGGGGTAGACTTGTGGGGACAGAGCGTGGCTACCTGAGACCCACACTCAGCCAGGGTGATAGGCAGGCGGGTCTCCGAGGAGAGCTGTGGCCCTGCCGGACATGTCTGCTGCTGACCCCAGTGCTGGGCCTGTGACCTCCTTGGTGCCCAACACCAAGTTACCCGAGGACAGGGAGCTGTGGGGCCTAGGCAGCCCGGGAAAGTGCCCATCCTTAAGATACGCCTTCCTGTAGAAATACAACTCCTTCCTGAAATGATGGGGGTAGGTGTCTCCTGGAAGGGAATCGGGCAGGCGCACAGTCAGGTGAAGTCCCAGGCCTGAGGGAGCTTCAACAGGATCACCGCTCGTTTTAACTCGAGTTCCTCTTTTCATGTTGAGGCAAAACCTCATGCTCTTTTCTGAGCTCAGCCACAGTTTCTAAATAACTCATTCCTTAGACCTGAATCTGCATAGGGCCACCAAGTAAAATGAGACTCCCAAAATAATCCGGCCCGAAACGCCGCCGGGGGAGGCACCAGAGGCTTCCGCCGCTTTCTTATGTTAATTACCGAAGCTCTTCTCACGGGTCTGCCTCCTTCTGAGAAAACCGGAGCCTCTGAGTCCTCTGGGTCTCTGTCTTCGTTCCTTGAAGGGCAACCTGGAGAAGTGGGGCCAAGCACTGTCCCCTTTCAGTCAGAAAGAGGAGGTTCCTGACACTGGGTGACTTTAGTCTCACGCCGCAGACTTACGAAAAATCGGCGATGGGCGGGAAAGAGGCAAACTAACGTCGCCGGAACCCTCGTTTTCGGTACGGACGGAGCTGAGGCCTGCAGAAGGTGGCGCCCACGCCAGCCAGTGTCCAGACCTGGCTGGGTGTGGGGTCCCCTGGGGAAGGTCGGGCTCGGCCCCAGGGGGACAGGGAGGCCGGCGATGTCGCTTCTCAAGGAGAGAGACCTATTTCCCTTCCCACGGTGGAGAGAAGATCGGATCGCAAGTGGCATTTGGCCCTTGCGTGAATGAGCCAGGGACCTGGAACCAAGGCAGACCCCTCTGTTCCCAGGGGGTTCGATTCCAGATTTTGCCAGCCATGTGGCCTTGGGTGGGGACATAACTCCGCTGGGAAGTGCAAGTCACACACACACACTCTCTCTCTCGTGTCTCCCCCAAGCACGTGTGAAATACCCAGCCTGGGGGGGTCAGCATGGGGAACGGTTGTCACTGCCACGGCTGTCTATTTGCTGTGAGAGGGAGCAGACATCCGACAAACCATCTCGCCGCTAACCAACCTAAGCCAGGTCCGCCTCGTGCTCAGGTGAGGGAGGGAAGGGAAGTGGAGGGAAATGAGAAAGACAGAGAGGGAGAGAGACACTGGGGAGAGGCGAGAGGGGAAGGACGGCAAGAGAGAGTGGAGTGGGGGCAGTTCTGACAGAAGGGGCAGAAATAGGTGTGGGGCAGAGAGATGGCGGGGAAGGGGGAGCGGGAGGGAGGAAGGAGACAGGCAGTTTTCTAGAAGATTGTAGGCAGCGCCTGGGGTGGCAGATTTTGTGGCCATCGGGCTCCCTCAGCTGCGCCTTGCGCTGTGCATTTCCCTGTCTCAGTGACAGCAGCCAGCGGGACCCTCAGACCCGGAGAACCTTCTGCACGGGAGCCTGAGCCCCCGGTCCTCAGGGGGGGCAGTGCTCCGAGGGCTGGGGGAGGCTGGGGGAGGGCCCGAGCTTCCCGCCCCAGGAGTGGGTTTTCTGTAAAACCCGAACTCCTCTCCCGGCTGGAAGGGAAGTGGGCTGTCTGGGAGCACAGAGTCCAGAACCAGCCGCCAGGCTCCCGCTGACCTTTAAAACCACTTCCTCCCGGGAGCCCGAGGGCACGTTTGAGGCAGCACAGCGTCCCCGTGGGCAGCTTGAGCGTGAGTGAGGGGAGGCCACGGGGCTCACAAACTGGCCTTCAGGCTTGTCACATAACTGGCTGCCCCAAACCCAAGGCCACAGTCAAAGGCAATGGGGCCCTTTGAGAAATGAGGCCCCGGAGTAACCAAGGCTCCGTTCCTACAACCTTCCACCCGGCTCTTTCTCATCCTGATATCTTTCCTACCGAGAAGAAAGAAGCAGAAACTAAACGCCAGTCCCAGTCCCCAGCCCCATCGGCGTTGCTGTGAACTGCCTGCCGTTGCTCACGGCCTGGATCGGATCGTATCCAGGGTACTGACCGAGTCGGGACCAGAGCCCGCGGCCTGCGAGGCGGTGCAGGTGGCGAGGGGGTTTGCGACTGTCCGCCTCCCGTGTCCCCTCCCCACTTGGAAGAAACGCCGGGGCTCGAGCCTTCGGCAGAGACTCATGACTCAGTTCCTGGTCCCGGCCCGGTGACAGCTTGCTCGGGGCAGTGTGGCTTTCGCAGGGAGACAATAAAGCAACTTTCTGAGAGCTGTTCCGTCACAGGGGTCCTGGCGGGCAAACGGTTGAGCCATTGTTATTAAGCTCAGGAAGAGGGTGGCAGCTGTTATTTTTCTGAGTGGTCACCGAGTGAAGTAAAGATT